CTACATCAACTTCATTGACTACGAGGAAGCATTAGATAGCGCAGACAGGACAACAATATACAGCCGTCTTCGACACTACGGCGTGCCTGAGAACATAGTCAACATCATAAGGAATTCCTATGATGGATTAAACTACAAAATCGTGCATGGAGGACAGATCACTGACCCGTTCGAAGTAAAGAACGGAATCAGGTAAGGTTGCTTACTCTCATTCTTTCACTCTCTCCTGCTGATCGAGTGGATCATTAAGATGTCAACATTTGGAGGGAAGTACGGGATACAGTGGACAGCTAGGATGCGACTGGACGATATAGACTTCGCAGATGATCTGGCTCTTCTATCACACACACAACAACAAATGCAGGAGAAGACGACCAGTGTAGCGGTAGGTCTCAATATGAACAAAGGGAAAAGCAAGATTCTCCGATACAATACAACATGCACCAATCGAATTACACTTGACGGAGAAGCTTTGGAGGATGTGGAAACCTTTACATATCTGGGCAGCATCATTGATGAACACGGTGGATCTGATGCGAAAATGAGGGCACGGAGCAGCATATTTACAACTGAAGAACATCTGGAACTCAAAACAATTGTCAACCAACACCAAGATCAGAATTTTCAATACAAATATCAAGATAGTTCTACTGTATGGGGCCGAGACGTGGAGAATTATGAAAGCCATCATCTAGAAAATACAGGTATTTATTAACAGTTGTCTACGCAAGATACTTCGGACCCGTTGGTCAGACACTATCAGCAACATTCTACTGTGGGAAAGAACAAACCAGATTCCAGTAGAAGAAGAAATCAGGAAGAAGCTCTGAAAGTGGATAGGACACATATTGAGGAAAGCACCCAACTACATCACAGGACAAGGCCTTACTTGCAATCCTGAAGGTCAAAGGAGAAGAGGAAGATAGACATAAGAAGAATGAACAAAAGTTGTATAGAACTAGAAGGCCCAGGACAACGTGGGTTGGAGAATGCTGGTCGTCGGCGTAAGTAAGCAAGTAATTATATAACAAAACTCATGTTTTTTTCCGAGTAAATTATCACCTCAGCTCTACCTAAATTCATAAACAAAATGAGTTCTATTAAATATGTATGTTGCATGAAAATTATACCCACGTAATATTGTACTCAGAGTACACTTTAGGAGAAACTAAATATATAAATTGAAATTTTTACAAATTAAGCTACTTATAGTGGAACCTCTTGTAAATGTTATCCACAATAACTAGTAAATTAATGATAGGTAGCTTTTTTCCAACATACAGGGATTTATTCGGTGTACTGTTTCGAATTCACTTTGACCTTTCAAGTTCCTTTATAATGTCTATTAAAGAAGAAGAAACCAGCTCTACACCTGAAATCTTTTCAAAGTATATGATTTTCTAGAGTTTAAGGTATCTCTATCGAATTTCTGGTCACTACGTCTGCTAATGTCAAATAAATGTGTGTATAATGAGTTACCTACAAAGTTAATAAACATACATTGATAACATTGTTATAAGAATAACACACTTTCATTCGCCTGATTTTGTGATGAAGAAAACGTTTAGTTGAATAACTCAAATTAATTTAACGACCAATTATTTATCATTACAAATAAGAAAGACTGAAATGTATACACCGAGGCGAAAATTAAGCTGCCAAAAGATCAAATAACATAAATAATAAAAACATTTGATATGATAAAAATGAAAATTAGGAAAGAAACAAAAATTTTCTGGATTTTTTTTCGAAAAGGTTTTTCACATAAAAATCTTGAGCTAGTGGTTCAGTCAAACAATTAAGATTTCAAATTCATTTAGTATTGTTTGTTGGAATCTCCCCATCGATGTGTTAGGACTGCAACTGGTTAGTCTTTAATTGGCATATGTGCATACTGTGCGTATCGCCTCGATATAGCCTTAATTCACAAGCATGATAAGCAGAGAAGGATAGTGGCTAGCAGTAGGATTAAGGCTATATCGAGGCAATACGCACAATATGCGCATATACCAATCAGAGACTGATCAGTTGCAGTCGAAAAACATCGATGGGTAGATTCCAACAAACAATAATAAATGAATTTAAATTTCATCCCATCGCACAAGCAAGTGGCTATCAGGACTCAGTGGCCGAGTGGATAACGCGATGGCGTTTGAAGCGAGGGTACTGGGTTCGAGTCCCAGAGTGAACATCAACTCTGAGATGCAGGTACATCCAGCTGACGAGTCCCAAATAGGACGAAACACGCGACCTGGATTCCACTGATAGCCACTATCCATCTCTACTTAATTAAGATTTCATTTAATGATAACTGTCAAACGTAGATAAAATGAATATATATATACTGTATGTTCGATATGATTTCATATGTTCCCATTAAAAGATGAAACTTCATAACTGATCTGAAACAAAGATTAAGTGAATTTGATTTAATCGATAATCATTAAAATTACAAGTAAAAAGTGAGTTAATATCAGAAGGGATTTTCGTGGATATTATAGTAATTTTAATAGTTGAGTTCATGAATCGATTGAAGCCAGATGACTATGGGAAACCTGGAAGCACTGGACGACCGTTTCGCTCTATGGTGGGACTCCTCAGTAGTGCGCATTCACGATCCCGCTAGTGGAGTTCAACCAGGTCTCTTGTGATATATCAACTCACTGTAGACAATTGTGGATGTGTCGCTCAATTTTTTGGATTGGTTGAAGTTAGACACTAACGCCGGTGGTCTAGAGGTTAAGCGTTCGCGCGCGAGACTGATAGGTCCTGTGCTCGGATCTCGTGAGGTGGGACCGTGGATACGGACTGCTGAGGAGTCCCACAATAGGACGAAACGGCCATCCAGGTTTTCCGTGATGGTCTATCTTCAATTGACTGATGATTTCAACTATTAAAAAAGTGAGTTAACGATTTGTTTAGTCTTAAACATATTGAATCGATCTTAACATACAACTGAAAAAAATGGTTAGCGAAACTTTAAAAATCTTCCATTAAACACAATGTAGGGTAGTTTCTTGTTAGAATAAAAAAATTTAAACAAGAAAAACCCTGATTTCACTCTATGATTTCTGGTACCAGATACAATGCTAACAGCTCTTCAAACTAATATACAACAATTTTTTCGCTTAACCCTGACTGATCCAAAACGTAAATCTGATAAGATTCAATGATAAAAACATTAGAAGAACTAAGCTTCTTTCGAGTTCATTCAGTTATATATCGATCGAGTTCAGTTAATCTTGCCAAACTGAACAATTGTCAGTTAAGCACAAAGCCACAGTGAAATACAACTAAGCATTATACTAGACAAGTGGAAAAAAAAACTACGATAGATTAATCATTACAAATTAATGTTATAATTACGAAAGTCATATTTACATCAATGCATAATCTATCATATAAGAATTCTCAATCTTTCAGCAAAAAAGCTTTCGCCAAAATGCATGGTAAGAATAAACCATCTTTTTCATCAAGACTGAAAATTTTGTTATGTGATTACTACTAGATCCAAATTTTAGCAATTTCATTCTGGCTAAATTAGATAGTGAGCTACATAGCTTATTGCTACGACGTGAATGATACGTTCAGTTTCAGAAAAATAACAAACTGAAATCTACAGTGTCCACACCAAACCACCAATTTTTAGATGGAAGAGGAAAATGGTACTGCAGTGGACGCTACCCATAGGGATGTTTGTAAGTAATGTCTAGTGAAACGTGACATCAATATTGAAGTAGTTGTCGGACATAGTGACGAGTTTCAGTGCATCAAAAGCACGGTGCCAGTGGAACACTTGAATGTCAGCCAAGAAAACAGCTCAGACTGCAGAACACACCAGAAGATGCAAACAGATTAAACGTCATGTATATGTATCAGGTAAGTACTAAGTAGCTTCTCTCAATAAATATATATTTCTCCAGCCTATTGTCGTGTTTTACAACGCATCACTTCTCTAGATGTCCCAAAAATGAAATAATTAGGTGAAACGATAAAAAACTGACCTCTTTAAGTCAATATATCGATAACATCACAAGGAATGGATCACTGTTGGTACATTGGATAAGATTGAAGAAAGGAGAAACAAGAAGGCAATCAATACCAGACGAACAAGAATAGAAAAAGCCAAGGCACAAGCTGAAGACACAGAAGTAAACAAGCAGGTGAAGAGGAGCATCAGAACCGACAAACGTAAATATATGGAAGATTTAGCAATGATACTTTTGAAACTTCTCTCACTACAGTATACAATAAATCTAGTCAGACAGCTTTTTTTTTAAAAAACTTATCTTCCATAGAGACGTTATCTAAACGGAACTTTTCATAAAATCAATTAGAAATGGATATTCGTCGATGTGACCAACTACATATACATAGTGAAGTAAAACTGGATTGCCAACAGCACAAAAAGCTTTATGTCTTGAAGCTCAAGGGTGACAAGTGGAATGCGATTTGAGAGTGGACATAAAACTACAGACTATTATTGTCTGAACAATCCTTTATCGCGGTAGAACCACAAAATAGTAGGATTTTGAACCTTCATCAATCATGTAGCAATACCATTTATTTGGATCAATTTGAGTTTCAAATTGTTCAAAATGTTCTAAAATGATGACCAGAATGATAAGTTAATGCAATTTTACAAGACGAAATTAATGATCTATTCTGGATATAGAAGTAGAGCAAATATGTTTGGCAATTTCATGGATTAAAGATGCAAAGCTTTAATAGAACACAGGATCGAAGCTAATTTTGATTTCATATATAACATTTGACGATATCGGAGACACAGTCAATTCAACTAACATTTAGTAAGATTCGGTAAGCAGAAGCTTTGGTTGTCACCTATTTTAATGGCTGAACCTACCAGATGCTAAATTGCTGTGACATGTTACAGTCTCAAAATACACATTAGGTTAACATCAGTTTGCTTCCAACTGAAATCAATCAGCTGATAATTACCCATTTCATATATGACATATTATCATGAAGTACAGAGACAAACGCAAGTACAAGTTTCTTTATTTCATGGCTGATTTTTTTCCTCCGTAAAATATAAAAAGCAATAAAAATGAAATATAAAAAAGTGTAAGTGACAAGGACACACAAAAACAAATGGAGATGGGGGAAATGCTAAGACGATGAAAAATAACTAGACACGCAAATCTTAAGTCCAAAGAGATAGATAATGTCGACGCAAATGTAAATGAACACAATAATGGTAGTGATAATAATAATTTCAATTAAAGCGATGAGAAAAGATCTTTGGAAAAACGAATAAAAAAGAGGTGGCGAAAAACACGTACCAAAATAAAAAGCGAAGAAAGCTGATTGGGATTCGACTTATGATTTTGTAGTGTGTTATACGCAAAAGCAGACAATCAGAATAAGCGGAAATAAGTAAATGATGTACACAAATAAATTCAGTGAAACGACATTCTATAGAGATTTAGTGTGGATCCAAAACTATACAGATTATAATAAGACTATGATATACAGCCATAATGAAAAATAATGACGTTAGGGAGAAAGAGATTTCATTATTTAGCTGATTGACATTTACTCCAATGTGTGTGTGTAAGAAATAGGGAAAACTCAATGCAGTTAACAAGTAATGAAGTAAAAAAAAAGTAGGAAGATTTAAGGAAACCCATTACGTATGATCTGTGACAGATAATCATCAAAGACATCATTATTAAATGAATCATTTATTCCTAATCAAATCTCCATAAATAAATAATGATACATGAAATTGTAATATATTCTTATATATGTTCTTAAGATCTATGACGGGAAAAAAGCAGAAATAATAATAATAATATGATGATATAGATAAGTGAACAACAATTTAACGGGTGGCTTTCCATTATTCTTATTGTTCCGTTCATACTTATCGTCAGTCATTTATTCAGATAACCGCGTAATCCGTGTAACGAAGTAGACAACATAAAGAGGATAGAAACGTTAGGTTAATGCCCATAATTAATTGTGTAAACAATAGTAAATTTTCATTGTACAACAAATCTCCTTTTGTGAAAATCATCTTTCTTTTCAGGTTTTTGCGCGAATTTTAAATGTGCACGGAAAAAGAGTAAAGTGTAGTAAATCAACTTCGTTTAAATCAAAATAAAGATAAATGGCGCCGAAAAGACGACATGTCTCCTCAAGGGTTGGTATAATAGCAAAAATAAGGAAAAATAGAAATTTTGATGAAAAAAAAAGAAAGACTGGATATTTATTGATTTCTGTTGAAAAAGTGACTATAAAAGTAAAATCATCTACAAAAAAGACTACTTTGAAGATAAAATCATAGTAGATGATAGATATTTTATGAAGGAAGTAGTTTTATGCAATTTTACAATACACATGTCGGTCTGTTTTTCATTATCGGTTTATAATTCCTGGAAAGGGATAGCATGACAAAAAGTAATTCATAAGTATATGTACATCTCAACAAAAGATAACAACGGTAGTTATCGATTGAACATATACAAACAAGAACTACTCAATGCAAAACTGGAATATCAAACAGACAACCGCCTAAAATATCTACGCTGTTGAATAACCCCCTAGTATTCACTGAAAATAAAGCTAATGATGAGAAAATAAAATGAAACATGAATATAACAACCACAAAAGAAAACAACACAAAATGTTAGTTGTGTGCAGACAGCATGAAAAGAATTAAGGGAAGGAAGAAACCCATAAACAAAGAATATCTGGATATAACAACAAACAAAATATAATGATTATAATGATGACAACGTGGAATTTTTAACTGTTGTGGGTGATTTTATAATTGAATGAAATTTACTTCTAACCTGAAGCAAGAAAATTTCTACAAAATGTGAACAAGACAAGCACAGGAAATATTCCAACGTTATCACCATCCATTTTGACAAAATGATAATGTAAAGATAAATTAATAGTCGATCGTACAAAAGGCACATAATTTTATAAGCAATGTGAACAATATGTATATATGCGACTAGATTAATAATAACTGCTTTGAATAGTAACCAGAGTGTGAGGAGGGAAAATGCCAACAATTGTCTTTTTATATTTTTGTATACAAGTAAGAAAACCATCTAATCTCATTATTCGAATGAGATAAGGCGCTAAATTGTGCCTACCTTGAAATATTACTTAAAACAAATAATAATGGTAACAATAATGGTAAATGAAACTAGTGCCTGATCCGTATCCTCTCCTAAACATACTGTCACCTGTGTGTGCGTGTGTGCATTTCTGAAATAATATGAAGAAAAACGAGGAGAAAAAAATACAGACACACACAGAAGAGAGGCAAACAAGTAGGGAAACAACAAGGACAACGAACAAGGTAGTAAGTAGACATACAAACAGAGATGTACACGACAAAAAAAATGAAACGGTGCTTTTTTATCCACCTTTTTCGGAAAAGAAAGATCAACCCAATTTGTTTGACAATGAATAAGAAAATAAGAGAATAGAAGAGTGAAACTACTAAACTAAAATGATATTTCTAAAAGGTTATATGATGAATAGTTTTTATACATAAATAGTAGAAAATAAGAATAGTTAAATATAGTGAATCGGTAAATCTATGCATTTTTGTTACTGATAGTATTTAATTAGTAGTAGCATTGCTATTCCATGGGGACATCATCAAACTGAAATTCATCTATATCTAAACCAATTATTGGTGGTGGAAATAAATCTAATGTTTTTGAAGATGATTTCCCGCTATGATTCAATAAAGAACGTTGTTGTTGAAGTTGATGACATAGATGTTGTCGGTGTTGTTGATCTTGGTAACGTTGATGCAATTGTTGTTCGTGTCGATGGTGTTGTTGACAATGTTGATTTGATGATTGCACAACAGATGCAATTAATGGATCAAAATGTGTGACCGGTTCTAAAATTGTATTATTTATGTTACCATGACATAAATCTAAACTTAATGAGTGAATTGAATTGTAATTTGAATCTGTTTCACAAATTGGTTCAGATTTTAATTGAGGAATAAATGAACTATTTGACGAATCAAATGAATATAATTGTGTAATCTATTACGGATAAAAATGTAAAAAAAAACAACAAAAAAACACTATTGAATTACGCAATATAGTACTGATAGAGTTGTTATAGTAGTTACATAAGAATCAAGGGATAAATATTGCGAATAGCTAAAATACAAACGTAGGAGAAATTATAAAATACTTTTTTTTTGAAGGAAAGGGTTTCATCAAATCTCAGCTACAAACATACACCTACATCAATAAACAAGGTAGCGAGAGCGGTTGTACAAGCTTCTTTTACATGAGTTACTTGAGATACGTAATTATCCACAGTAGAAACAGATGAATTTGCACTTTTTTCACGAAGTGTTACATATAATATTTGTTTGTGAATCTTAATTTTTACTCCTGCAAAATGTGTAGTCTATAAACGTCTTGCTGAGAATTATGAAGCAATTTAAAGGCTGAGGTTAACAGCAACATTTTCAATGTTCAGTACTACGTCGTACCCAAACACTTATTTATATTTTCTGTTGATTTAGTGAGTGAATACTGCATAATAAGGTGTGATTTTTATTGAAAATTTCATTTCAGGCGTCTGGAGATAGCCACAACCGTCTGTTATGAACATGTCAGCGTAGCGTTCAAGTTCAATATCACCGCTGAAAAATATAACTATGGCAGAAGTTTGGACTTGAAGTGAAATCTTGGATGAAAACCATACCATACTACGTACTAATCACACACTGAATGGATAGAAAGATGGTCAAAAGTGTTGAGTATGATACAATTAGTGAATGTGTCAAAAATGCTGTGGATAATCTAAACCCATATTACACTGATGTGTTTTTGCTGTAAGATAGTACTTTGAAGTCAATAAGTCTTGGTAAAGCCCGATAAAGCAAATAGTTATTTTGAGTCTATTTCAATATTAGAGTTGTTTTAAATTGTACGTAGCTGAAATAAAATGAATACATATTACACTGTTATAATTATTGAGATTTTATTTGGCTATGCCATTTTACATGTTCAGCCATCGCCTATGTCATTCTTTTCTTTAGCTAGTAGGGTACCCACACTGAGAAATGGCATTATTCCATAAATTCGTCAATAGTTATTTTGAGACCTTTCGGTAGATATGGACAAATAGGTTAAGGTCTGTCATAAATGGAAGTTGTCGTTAGAAAGTTGAGGTGATAAGGAGAAAGATCTGTTCTAGTGGCGACATACACTTGAAGTTCTTATCATAAAACGTCTTCTTTCTCTTTATTTTATTTCTATATTTTATTATGAAGTGGCAACTTAGTTTTTAAAAGAAACTGTTTAAAGTTGTCACGTTAATAGATCAAATCCCGCCTCACCAACATCTATTTAGGATTGTATATAGTGTTACTAACCTTCACACACACGCACACACAAGGTGTGACTCAAGGCTGTGTACAAGCTTACATTTGTAAATTCAGCCGTAATAAGAAGTAAATAAAAACAATGTATTTTATTTTGAGCCAATACATAGTTGTATAGCATCCTACATTGTTTACGAACGAATAAATGAGAATATGATGCGGAACACAACATAAACATTTTCTTCTACAATTAATCAATCTACACAAACTATGACGATGAGTCTATCAATGTAAAAAACAGATATCACTATTATGATTATTCATATGAATTCAACCTACTACATGGCTTATGATTAACGCAAATAAATGTACATATAAAAATAGTTAATTTAATAATAATAATAATAAACAGATAGTTTGATGAATCAATTTCACTTGACGATTCAATAAAGATCTGATGGGATCAGGTTAAGAAGTGAAATATTGATTATAATGAGAATACAGCTTATGTTATGTATATGTGAACGGTATTATATATTTGTTAATAAATGACCTATATGATCTGAGTCTAATTCATATTTCTTTTTTTTTGTTTTTAAACATAAACTAGGCGACTACGTTTAAAAAAAAATATTTTAGATGGGGTTTTGTGGAGATTTAGTATTTTCATAGTTGAAAGCGTGAATCAATTGAAGCCAGACCACCGTAGAAAACCTGGAAGCACTGGACGGCCGTTTCGTCCTATTATGGGACCCCTGAGCAGTACGCATCCACGATCCCGCCTTGCGAGCGAGATTCGAACTCAGGAACTACCAGTCTCGCGCCAGAGCACTTGACCGATAGACCACTGAGCCGGAGTCCAACGATGTTAATGTCTAACTTCAACTGATCCACGAAGTTAAGCGACTGTTCATCAATTGTCTTCAATGAGTTGATATCCCAAAACAGACGTGGTTTGAAATCCACTGGTCACTGCTTCTCACTAGAACTCCTGGATTTACATCTCGAAGTCAGTCACTAGTGAGCATATGATTATATTAATTATTAGGAGGGGTTTTGTGGAGATTTACTATTTTCATAGTTGAAAGCGTGAGTCAATCGAAGCTATTCATTTATCAAAGCAATCAAACATTTTATGTTTTAAATTTGTTATTATCATATATTTATTTAAACCAAGGGTAGTAAGTTTATAGGCCTCAGACAGACATTTTCAGACAATTTTATTGATTTAAAAAAATAATAGCCTATAGGATTTAGTTTGGTTTTTCAATAGGTATATTTATTCTTTAGCTGACTACTTGAAATTATTTCATTTTGAAAGTATATATTTAAGTACTCGAATGTGAGGCTTGGTTGTAAGGATCGAGAACACAGTTCAACTGACCTGCTGCTCCGGCAACATCGACCAGTTTGTCCTGTCCCCCATGGCCGATGACGACTGATCCACCAAACGAGGCGGAAGTCCGCAAGGAACTCCAACTCTTGAAACGCTACAAATCACCGGGCCCAGATGACTTACCTACATCTCTTTTTAAAGATGGTGGTGACTTTCTGGCTAAGGAACTGACTGTGTTGTTTGCAAAGGTTTGGTAGCTAGAAGGTGTTCCAACATCATGGAACGAGTCGATAGTCGTCCCTATCTTTAAAAAAGGTTCACGTTGTTCCTGTAATAACTATCGGGGGATAAGTCTACTTTCGATTGCATCCAAACTATTGGCTTCTATCATTCTTCGTAGGTTGTTTAAAACTCGAGAACGATTGACTCGCGAGGAGCAGGCTGGTTTTCGTTCTGGTCGAGGATGTATTGATCATATTTTCACCCTTCGCCAAATGTTAGAACGCCGTCATACTTATCGCAGGCCAACAATCGTAGTGTTTCTTGATATCAGTGCGGCCTTCGATTCGTTGGACAGGACTGTTCTCTGGGATTGTCTATTGAAAAAGGGTGTGCCTGAGAAGTTCATTAACATCTTAAAGTCCCTGTATACGAACACCTCAGGCAGAGTGAGGGAATACAATCAACTTTCTCCCTTGTTCCCTTCGAGTAGTGGGGTTAGGCAGGGTTGCCCAATTTCACCATTCCTCTTCAACTTTGCCATCGACGACATCCTGGAAACAGCTCTGATGGATGTAAGTAATGGCGGTGTGGATCTGCTGCCTGGAGAACGACTTCTCGACCTTGAGTATGCGGATGATATTGTCTTACTGTGCGATAATGCCCAAGGCATGCAATCCGCACTTAATCAGTTGGCAATCAGTGTCCGCAGGTACGGCATGTGCTTTGCACCCTCCAAGTACAAAGTACTCCTACAATACTGGCAGGATTCTCATCCTGTACTCACCCTGGGTGGTGAGCAGATTGAAGTAGTTGAGAAGTTCGTGTATCTAGGTAGCTATATAAGTGCTGGTGGTGGCGTGAGTGATGAGATCGATACCGAAGCACCTAGCTCCCACTTATACTACATTCATCATATCTTCTCATAAAGTTGGACTAGAGTTAAGCTCAACAGGGTCTTCTGTCCCCGTTAATTCTGAAAGTATTTGGCAACAACAACAACAAAAAATAACATAGTAATAATAAGCAATATAGTCGTGGATTTAATTTACCTTATCATCGTTAAAATCATTATTATCAGAATCTTGTACACCACAAAGTAACGGATTAACATTCACCGGTAAACTTGCACTAATATTGTGCGAATTAATGTATTGTTGGCTTGGAATCGATCCAAAAGTCATTCCTGAACGACTAGATAGCTGTAATTGATGCTGGACAGTTAAATGATGCTGAGGAGATAACGAAGATGAAGGATGTTGAGATTGTGATATAGGTTGAGACTGGAACTGTGAACAACATAACTGTGATTGATTGCCGGACTGGAAAATGCGTGGTTGAGGAGATTGATTTGATTGAAAATTACGTTGATTTCTCATTTTATTAGTCTGCTGTTGTTGATATTCTGGGGCATGAAGCCGTACACAAGGCATATTTACATCACTAGATGAACTATTAACCCCAGTTGTAGACACTGTCAACGATGTACACCTTCCACGTATTAGTCTTAAAGGTGAGTCTAGGACAGTTCCACCGCCCCCAGTAGGTCGGGTGGAGAAATTCGTGTTAGAAACAGGCGAATTTATCCTCGGAAAACTGCTTAATGGATTACTGCGTACCGGAGCAGATCCAACAATCGGTGAAGCCATAGAATCTAAACAAGGAAGAAGTAAAAAATATAAAATAATTATCAATAAAAAATTAACGATGTCATTTACTAGTTGGAAGTTGGAAAGTTTCTAATTACCAGCAAACGGAGAGTAACAACTAAGTTAAAATTTAACTGGAGAGAGTCAATTTTTAAGCTATTGGATTAAGAACGGAATAACTTATAATTTCGGTCTTATTGACAGCAGACACATTTACTAGTGGTTTATAAATTCGCACTACACTTGAGATTTCGACGATAGAATATCCATAAACAGAGTTGTCCAAAAACAAGACTAGTCGTTATCAGTAAGTATTCACAAAGTGCGATGATATACACATAAGGATATCCGATTTTGAATATGTGGCTAAAGACAGAGTAAGCAATTTAAACCAACGACTAAGATGAAGGAATCGATTACTCCTATCACAGTGTCAATATTCCATGAAATGTATGAAAATGAATCTTCATGGAACGATTAGGTAAGTACGTGAAAAAAAACAGTTGGCTGCAACATCTCCAAGTCTATATTTAATCGAGCCGGTCAACGATTTTAGTTACACTGAAGTTGAAACATTCATATTTAGTGAAAACTGACCTAATATAAGATCAGTGCGTCAAAGTAGGAGATTTACGTTTCACTGAACATATAAGCCATTCACTTTAGCTAATACCCTACTATAATATTCTATTAAAATAATAAACATTCAACACAGTCAATAAAATGTAAATATATTTTCCAAGTAAACAATTGCTAAATGATCTCAATATAAGAAAAATCAATAAATACATTCCTGATCTCATTTTAATTTACGGATAAATACGTAAACAAACAAAGTACGGTATTAATTTATCAAATGTACTAAAGATAATGAATAAAATATTTCAGTCGTCTTTCTATTTTGACGTATGGCGATATAAGTTTGTGAGAACAGTCAAACTCTAGAGTGACTAGCATATATATATATATATATATATATATATATATATAATACAGAGAGAAGAGACCCATTACTATACGAATTGAAAAATAAATGAGTAAAACTTAAAAGCGCATACATACAAAATACACACACAAAAATAGTACAACAAATCAGTTGGATATTCATTTCATTCCATTAACATAGCCAGACATGAACTGATGCAGAGAGGTTAAGCATACTGCCTACTGTAGTATTAACAGTATGAAATTGAGAGTATTTGACAAAGTTACGGCTGAATTTAATTGATTAGAAGTAGACTGACGGTTATGTGATTATTGTCATGATAATTAAAGAACTAGAAAAGCAACCCGTGGCATCATTAGACAAAATAATTAGGGTTTAGTCAAGAAAATTTCCCAAAATATTCCATTAAATAAAACTGTACAATCATATTTATATAGTTATTTGATAAGAAGAAATTTGTGGTGTTGTTATAATTGTTTTGCTTATAAACGACCCAGCTACTCCTATTGTTTAGTATTCTTATACGATGACACTCGACAAGACCCCAAAATCAGAACACGTTGAACAGGAACGAAATTGCATTCAAAATAACAAGGGTAGGTGAACAGCAATCAATGGTTAGAAAAACGTTCACATATTTATAGTACATACATAAGAAACTTCTAGATGCTTATCCAATAATCTGCCAGAGCTGATTGGTTTAGAATTAGCCCATTAGCGTGCGCCGTCACGATCATGCACATAACGTGCCTTAATCTGGTTTATTTCCCGCTAACAGGTGTCATTAACAAAGTCATCAGAAGTTAATCGAAAACACTTTCATAAGTCGAATGAAACCAGCTATGTAATAATTTTTTATTGATATGTTATTTACATCTATATTACCCCCCCTTGATTATTACGTAATTTCATTCAGTACACATGGGAATTTCTCACTAACTTTTGATAACTGTCACAATGATACCATAATTTTCTATTTTATTACAAATGATAATGTACAAAAGAATTGCATAAATAATATTTGTACAGCTTTAGTAAATGGAATTGTTTGGAAAGAAATTTTTATACTGAACCGCCAATATTATTACTATTATTATTATTGATATTATAACGACATGATGGCCGACAGAAATTTCTTTCAAAATAAATAAACTCATTTAATAGAGATAAGAATTCACAAATACTTATGCGTAAATACATGAAAAACCAAGCACTAAAATGGACTACTAAGACGACAATGACCACTGCTTTAGATTCGCATATTATGAATAAAACATGTGATGTATCTCTTAATAAATACAACATCATATAACAAGTAAGCAATATCAAAGTAAAACCTTTAAGAGAGAAAAAGAACACCATGAAGAAAATAAACAATGACAATCAACACAACTACACGGTAGGATGGATATAGTTATTTTTTTGAGAAAGAATTTCTAGCTCACTTGCCAACTAGACAGAAATTAACCTAGAAATAGGACACTTGTTGGCTTTTTGTGTTATTAACATTTTATTTCTTTAGGTCTAGTAGTTGAAGCACATTGATTGATAACTTTGTTGAGGAAGATTAGTACGAGGTGAAAAACAACAATGTGATAATAAAAATATGATCAGTAGATTAAAAGTAAAGTAAAAGTGGTTGGTGTCATTCAAACGTTGAAAACGTTGTACAGCAATCATCATATTCCAAAATGAAGAAAGAAAACAATGAATGAATGAGGTGTGATGCGTTTCAAGCATATTTATCACCAACCGCCGGTTCTTCATACATGAGTTTGTTACTAAGTACTTTATTATTGCTATTATTCAGTTAGTTACAAGTAGTGTACAACCTGAAGCATATTGGGATCAGTTCAAGTTCCTATACTGTTATCAGAACAACGAGGCTATCATAAGGTCAAATTAGTTGTATCAGGATCAGTGGTAGTAAAAAACATTAGCCGTTTAACCACAAATTACTCACTCAGTAGTTCCTAGAATATGCTAACAACGTTTCGAAGGCATCTGCAATCAGATACTAGCTGCCTATATACTTCATAATCATAAAGTTTAACAAAATGAACTTTTGTGCAGTTCATCTTGTCTACTACCAATGTGATGTAGATTTACAAAAGTAAACCCCGATTTCATCACATATCAACCCACTGGGACTGATCAGATTTCCAAGATAAGTGAAATGGTCGATCTCCTAAAAATATTTCATTGATTTAGACAATTCCTGAGAAAACATTTCGTATTTAGAGGGAAAGAAACATATCCCCAATATAGATTGGATTGTTACTCAAGTCGATTAGACAATATTAAACAATGTATACATTTATAAAATTTGTGAAAAGAGTAATACGAATTTGCATTATTTTTCCTCTTTAACTTGTGTGCAGTGTATAGATTGAAAATTAGATAGTATTTTAAGCGAAACGACAAGTTAATTAGCACTTTCTTAGTTGGACAGAAGATATATTGTGCATTAATGTGAAGACTTTCCTGCTTGAACAGAGATTGGGTTAGTGAGTTGCGAAAAGAAGTAACCTAAGTTAGCACAACAAATAGTGATGTCCATCATGAAATTTCTACTGTTAAAATGATGGGGAAGTTTGTATGATCCTTTGTTGCAATGCTATGTAATTGTTCACCATGGCTGACATCACGTAGAAAAACTAATTATTCTCACAAGGAATATCCCTTCTTTTCATAAAATATCTTATTGTATGGTTATTCTTTTTTTCTTGAATTAATTTCTCCTATAGATATTGGTCTGAAATTGTCCCAAGCATTATTATGGTGTGTGCTAGTAACAGTATGTATCATCAACAGAGAGTGAAATGTCTGGATTTAGAAGGTTAAAAACTTCGGAGAGAGAACGAGAATAGAGATTGATTGGTGTGGAAGCGAAGGACCAATCAAATCCAAGACAATTGACTGGCATTTTGCAGAAAAAGTAATTGCCGTATGGTTCTCAGATTTTAATAAGACGTTCCATAATTTGTATTTAAATACATTTGGTTGTCCCCACTTGTGTTTTCGTTCACTACACTATGACATACATGAAGAATATTTGGAATCTCAGTTAATTGAAAAATTTATTTCGCATTACTGAATCCCAGTGAAACAATATACACTATTCAACATTTAACTAATTAAATTATATAAACGAATCAACTATTTTTCTAGACCTATTTACGTGATCATAACCATATATAAACTTAAATTTTATGCACTATGATACACGAACAGAATTCATAAGATTTATTAGAGAAATTCCAACATTGTTAGGATGATAATAATAATAATATCTTACTTGCGAAAACAACTTTTGTATCACTGTTAATCATTTCATCTGTACCAACAGAAGATAGGCCGGGTGATGAACCACCAGCTGTTGTAGACTGTGGAAATGATGATATTGTGATTGGTGAGTTAGTTGTACAAATCGGTACTGAATTTAGTAAATTATTTTCATGTAATATACTCCATTCTTGATACAGATTTTGATAATCCGGATTATTTCGATTTGCATGTGAAGTTTGCATAGATGCTACATTTGTAACTGATTCTAATTCCTTAAAGGTGAAAAAGTGGGTTTTTTTCATTACAAGATAATTAGAGATTTACAGGTGGATATATATATATATATATATATATATATATATATATATAACCTGGTTATAACAGAAAACACATCAACATAATTTAAAATAAAAAACTGGCTAGCCTAGTGCTTGCTTTTTTGTCAACAGAGTTCACTTACAACAAGTCTTTACTGTTACGCATCCAGGAAGAAGCATAGTTATGGTCATCGTTAAAAACGTATATCGATTATGAGCGCAGTATGACTATTTGCAATAATCAGAGGTTAGTTAGAGGTGCACTCTATATGTATCATTTTCTCGATCTCGAATTCAAGTATTCATCCACTCTGTTTTTATTGGGTTACATTGTCGTTGTAACCAAATCCCTTCGATTGCTTCTCCACTGGCTAACGTGTTTGCCTAATAATTAGTAAGTTGCATGTTTAAATTTCACCCAATCCACTCCGGTTTAAAAGCCCGTCACACAACAAAAGTGTGGGTTACATTTGAATAAAAAAATTTAAACTTGTTGCATCAGTAATTCGGGAATGTAGACAGAAAAAAATAATTCCGTTATAAGCCACGAATGGTTAATTCAAAGAACGTAGCTCGTCTAAATTCTGATATGACTCCTACCACCCACTGGTATAGCCTATTCAAATTTTGTCCTGGTCAATTATAATTTCCTCATTCCCCTCGTTCTTCATTATCACTTAAAATATTTAGGAAACATTAAATTAGTTATTTTATAAATCCACACATTGCATGAAAAACTCCAAATGTAAAATATCATTCAATTTACAACATAACAAACTAATAGATAGAGTTACATGTTCTTTTTCCATTGTTCAATAAACAAAATAACCTTTACTGTTTATCGTTTGTTTAACACTCGAGTGAGTCGGATAAAAAAAACAGTAATGGTAATTTATAAATATTTTTTCAATGTATTCATTGAGCTCAACAACTGTCAAAGTATGAATGAAAATGAACGTCGACTTTCAGTCATCAAGTTCCAGGTTAGAACTCTTCCCACACCTATTTCGGTTTGGCCAATCGAGTAGTATTATTAATCCTCTACTAAAAACTATAGAGTAGCTCATACCCAAGTAGCTGATAAATTATTTGGTTTTTTTTAATAATTATTTGACGTTAACAATGATAATAATAACAAAATAAATGATAAACAAACGAAAAACAAAGAATATTTGAGAGACGAAACTACAAGCAGGAGGACAAAGGTATCAGAAAAGACAGTAAACAAAGAACAATCCGTAAATAGGATAAAATGTTTACAACCTAAAAGTTAATAATCAATATAATTTACAACACTATGTAACAATATTTAATACCATCGCAAGCAAATGATAGTTCATGAAAAAAAACTCCAATTATATATAAGCATATATACTATAAAATGATTGGGGTGTGTGAAATTAATGAATTGGTTATGAATTGTAAATGTAAATGTTGATAATATCAGTCCAGTGCTAGTTACTCATGCTGATAACCCGAATTACATTAGACAAAGAAGCAGACAATCGGGTAAGGTATTAAGATTAATATAATTCTATCAACTAACTAAAAATCATGAGTAGTATTTGGGTTCCATTTTGCTAATCAAGTATCAGTAATTTAACGGTTCGCAGTTGAGCTAATACCGATGTTGTTATCAGAAAATTTCAATTAAGTTAATTTCTTAGTAGCACCATACGTAAGGGAAGACGGTGTTCTGGTTACTTGATTTCAGTTTTTTTCGCATTAAAACCCTTATCATTTAAAGGGTTCTGAATAGCTCAAAACATGTAACTCTCCACAGCCTAATGTGTTGATTACCTCAAAAAGTAAGTAACAAAATTACTGAGGTTCACTCTAAATGCAAACGAAGTCTGATAAAGAGTATACTTATTAAGATTCAACATATTTGTAAAAAAATAAACTATACAAGGTGAAGTCAAGATATTAAATGAAATATTCACATAGAGAGAAAGTCTACCAAAATTAATAAATTGATGGGAAGACTGTAATATGTTGAAACCTACTACGCTTTTAGTATTGTATCAAATTACAATTTATACATAGCATCATGTTCAAACGCCAGCTTGCGTTAGAGAACCTTATGGAATGTAGTACTCAATCGATGTCATTTCTACTAATAAAAAGCATAATCTGTACTCGAATAAAAACAATTGCATTACATCCCATTGCTTTTATTAATATACACGTCTATGTAGGCGTAACTATAGACAAGAGTAAGGATAATATAAGACTAAGGATTGTTAGACGTATATCGGAATGGTTGTAAGAAAACTAATAAAAATAGATGATAAGCAGCCATCCTTGTTTATCACTAAACATAGATTAGTAACAAGCTGTTAGGTTTGTTTTAATTTCCCTAATGTATTTAGAAACACAATTTGTATTTACATTAAATATACCATTGTAATATTGATTTAAACATTTTAATATCAAGAGTTGGTGTTAATAAAGCCTTTCATTCTTTCTTTGTTTTAAAATTGTTACCATTTATTTATTTCAACCTGTTCGTCGTTCAGCTTAATATCTCGATAGGTTAACATGTGATTACATGATTGTTCGATATGCACTGTCTTGATACAACACAGTTCTAATTAATTTCGTTTCCTCACTGCACTCCACAACACCACCTAAATTAAGCAGAGACCTGATTTACACAATAAGAATACACATCAACTCTGTGGTGCAAGCACAACCAATCGACGAGCCCCAAATAGGACGAAACGGTTGTCCTAGATTCCACTGTTAACCACATTCCATCTGTTTTATATTTTTAAAAAACATTCTAAATCATACCAACGCAAAATAATTGGCGCAATAAAAATACCTTACTTTATTATTGATGAAAAATAACTGTTTAATGATGAAAGTGAAAATGTTAACTAAACAAACTACTTTAACGCTTACCTGAATGCGTTTGACCAATTGTCCGATAACTTTTGCAGCTAAACTAGTTTCTCGTCGAACTTCCGGTATTTGTGCCAATTCCGAACGTAATAAACAAATAAATTCTACTGAATTCTTCAATATATTTCCTTTGTTCTTCTTACCATCACTTTAAATGAAAGAGAAGAAATACATACATGCATATATGCATATAAAGATGATGCCAATTCAAACAGATGACAAGTATAGGGGTTATATGATACTCCTGGATTTTAGTGATTTTCTTTAAGAGATGACCATCCGACAGGAAGTCATTCATGGATTAGGTAACTCAGTAGTAACGTCTCAGAATGTGAAGCTGGGTGACAGGATGGAAAACGTCAGGAAGCACCAGTTCTTTTGAAATCGAAGGCACATTTTACTGACAAGCACCAACTAGCATGAAATTTAAGCAGAGAGTTCCCAGCTGATAACATACATAATCACCCCATAAAATCTAAACTTAGTGCACTCAGATCAGTGACAACTTGGTCAATAGAATTCGATTAGTGATAAAGGGCAGGACACCCATAAATAAATAATATTGGTCATTACTACTCAGATATCAATCAATTGTTGACAACTATTCATGGCTACAAAAAGTGATCTTCGCAACTACAAAACATTCAAAGGAATTTATTAGGAGGGATACAGTATGTTTATTTTGAAGCTATTAAATGATAAAGGTTTTATTCTTAACGAACAAAGAAATACATAGAGAATATTAAACTAGTTTTAACTTTTCAATCTGCAAATTGGTTTGAACGATAAACTTCTGTGAAATATTAACGACTGTTTGTATAATGGGAAGTGCTACACTTTATCAGCCTATTGATACATATATAATGAGGTCTATATGCATATTATGTGAAGACGGGGGATGATATTCACATTCAATTACACTGCGAATCCGTGAATCCCTATAGATTGTCTAGGTTGAATCAGACACTGGTTACTCTTTGTAGTCTCGTCTACTTAAAAACATAGGGATAGTTTAATTTAGCCAAATGATATTTGCCTATAACCATTGACTATTGGTCTGAGCAGTACGGTAGCTAAACTACGATTTGAGATCATTTAAAAATATGGAAAAACTGAAGCGAGTTCGGAATCTGGCGGAATAAATCTTAATATTCTTGAAAATTAAAATACGACATGCGTTCTTATATAGTTTTAAAACAAATGAGTACCTCTCAGATTTTGCATTAATCGTTGATATTCTTGAAATACTAAATGAAATCAATAAGAAAGGGCAGGATAAGGATATTTCTGCACCTGAATTGTATGCAGAAGTAAGAATAGTATCAGAAACCAAACTTAATTGACTGTCTAGATAATATAAGGAACTTAACTACGTTTCATTTGAGACATTAGCCACAAAAAGGGACCTCATTGAAATCTGTTTAGGAATGTAATTTCTACGCTTAAGTGTTCATAACATTTCTAAGGCATCACAGTGTTCAAACAGGAGTTTAATTTACCGATTGGTTAACTTTCTTTTGATGTTAAGATAGCCAATTACAACATTGTTATGAGAGTAGTGGACCCTCAAGCTGATACCAGTTTACTTAAACGCTTCAAACACTGGTGGAATGGTATTCCTTGTTGACAGGAGATATATTTCATAATCAAAAAACGTTTTGGAGTAAAATGCCCATTTTGAGGCCTAATTAAATTTATGGACCAGCGTTGCCATGTATGAACTTAATGATTAGAAATTAAGATCTAAACTAATGAATACAATTCTACAGGCGGTACAACAAGCAAAACGGCTTGTGATTACCACCATTTAATGGAAAACTATACACATTTGGATTCATCTTACTGATGATAAAGTGACATATATAGCGCTAATAATTGCGTAAGTGTTAATTTTGTTAAAAGTAAAAGACCCCCTAACAGAAACTCAATATACGTTTTTCTGGAATTTTGTATGGAAGGTCTGATAAAGTATCTAGGGTTCATACAGAACTCTTATTTGAAGTTTTCCCACTATTTCATATATCAAAAAGTTTATATAATTTTTAATCACGTTACCAATCACATCTGCGATACGCTATGTTAATAAAAACTATTTTCTTACTTCACTTCAATAATTACGTTTAGTTAATTTTCTGGTTGGTGTACTCTGTTTACAGTATCTATCTTGGTTTCGCTTTTGAAGATTTTATAGGTTGTTTAATGTGCTTTGTTTACAATTCAACCTTTATGAATATTAAGAGTGAAATAACAGTAGTTTGGCTATAAAATAATCAAAATAAGTTAGAATGGGATTTAGTACAACAATTTAAAACGTTGGTAAATGTAACAAATTTGTGTTATAAAGTATGATGATAATAATAATGAATGATCTGAAATAATAAAAGAAATAAGTATGAGTGAAATTTGTTTTGTAAAAAAAACGCTGAGATCTCATACCCATCTCTGAACATATCTTCAGGTAATAAACTTCCAAGTTCAGCAATTTGGCAGTTAATATAATCTCGTCGCTTACGTTCAACTAAGGGAGAGAGAAAGTGAAAGGAAAAAATAAATATTCTTTTAGGTTGAATTTAAAACATTCAACGCGTATCCTTTCAAGTTGCTATTACACATACATTTAAACTAGCCGTGAACGCTACTAGAGGTGAATAAAACTAACTTTATTAAGAAATCAAACATAAACATATTTCTATCGAAGAGGATAACTTAATTTTCTAATAAGAATTTCGTTGTAAATATAAATATTCAACGAAAATTTGGAAGATGAGGAACTTATAAGGTTGACTGCTACTTGAATAAAGCGCTACTATTAAGCAGAAACTGTTGAACAAACAGAAAGGATTTTTTAAACTGAATTGTATTAACTGTCATTATTACAGCATGTGTTACACTTACGCAGCAATTGTTTACTTCAATGTGTATGGTAGACAATTGGTAGACAAAAGCATTGGTGGGACTTGATGTAAATATAGCAAACATTAGGAATTTGCTAACTGCGTATTTAAACCATACAAGTGAACACAAAATACACCTTTTTAACTGTGGAAAAAAGTAGGTTAGGTATGATACCTATTAAAAGAAGAAATCTAACTGCTTAATTTAAGAAATCTATAATAATGAAAAGTGTTACGAAAATGACGTTCTTGAAAAATAAAACAATTTGACGCAAGATTGTTTCTGTGGAATATAAGTCGATTTTAAAACCACCTGGACATTCATTTTGATTATTTCAGTGTGACAGTTTAAACGAATGATCGATTACTTTAAGTATTAGACTATTCAAGCAGTCTTTACCGAAAAAATCATAAACTTGATAAACCCTATTTTCATATCGGGAAAAACAACAACCAATGAGAAAATGGAAATAAAAACAAGTATTAATTACTTCGATTATGACTATCTTTTTTCGATCGATCTCTCATCCAAGCTACCCGTTGATCATCTACATTTCGCCCATTCGTTGGGGAAGATATATTTCCAATGCTTAAAGTGCCATGACTTACCGGAAGACTAGTAGCCTCCGGTGTACTATTTAAACCACCCAATGGACTACTACCGCTTTCACTTAGCACTGACTGAGCAGCTCTTGATCCTGACTGTAATGGACTAGTATTATTATCTGTTGTACATAAGTCATCTGGTACAGTAGCTGGACATGAGGACGATACTGTCATGCCAGTGTCATCTCGACTGATTTTAGTACTTTCTTTCAGTAGAAAAGGATTCATATCTACAGGACTGATTTGTACCAAAGAATCCAGCTTATTCCCTGTTTTTAGCATTGATTTTGCTGTTGCTGACGATGATGATGTAGTACGCTGTAAACGTTCAGAAGAATCCGGTGTCTGATATGGAAAATCAATGGTAGAACCAGACACACCAACCTTTGTAAAACAAATAAACAAAACAAACAGTTAACAGAGAGAAAAATATGAAGATTTTATCACCGACCATCGAAAGCATCCAATAGCAAAAACTTCATATATATATATATATATATATGAAAAAGATATTAAATCACTGGGATAAGCCAACAACAGTTTTGCACCGCATTAATATAACTGACAAAACTGGCATTCCAAACGTTTGATTATCAAAAAATCTAACACCAAAGTATAATAAAATGAAACATTCTAGATTTGACTGTTAATTAGAAAGCGACAATTTAAGCTGCACAAACGAAAAATTGACATCATTTTTCTAAAGGATATCTGATTTTTTCACGTATACTTGTATGATTTTGTTGAAATATTGCACTGTCTATCACTGTCGACAAACGTGGACCAAATTACACATACGCACACACAAAATCAACTTTTATTATGTATGCAATATTCTAGAAACTTCAAAGGAAAGCTTTGCATGATTACTAAGTTTTTTTGCGCGACTAGACGGAAAACAAGCTTCTTTCGCAAAAAAAAGAATTAGAACAATGAAATAGTTCAATGCTATATTCAAATATACGGTTAGGTTACACCAAATATACGTTGGAATTAATAATTTGGCTGAAAAAACTTCTATAAAATAAATGATTGCATAACAAATACAAAGTTTTTTCTTGTTCTTATGACCCAACTTAATGCTACTTTGCAATAATAAGTCAAACATACATCATTTGTAAAATAAATCCATATCTAGCACTAATACAACTAATTCTTCACAATGCACGTTTAAGCATACCTAAACGGAGACAGAAAAACGTGCAGTTTTTTTTGAGAACAAGTTCAATCGCACACCAATTATCTGATAAGTACATTATTAAAAATACACCTACTAATAAAAACCAAATTTTGATCACAGCTAGCACTTGGCTAATCAGATAAGAGCTAAGATTATGAGCATTACTTTGTTCAGTTATTTGAAGCAAATTAAGCTTATTATGTTAAACAATGTGTTTTGTTGATTTGTATAACACTGTATACACGCAGCTAGATGCAATGACTGTAACAGCTGTTCACTGTCCGCCACAGTAATTGAAACCAGCTCACGTTAGTTAGCAGCAAGTAGCACCTACGCAACCAATATGATAGGTTACTTTTTTTGGAAGATCTGGATAAAAATGATAACTTCAACCGTATGGTTTTGAAAATATTATTATCCTGGGTTTATATCAACCAGAGGGAGTAGAGCACAACTATCATGGCAGATTAGTAATTATTGTGTGATTTTCATTCATGCCCCCAAATGTTCTGGTACAGCCGAGAGCGGGAAGAGTCAGCTCCCCCTCTCCAAATGCCCTCGCATGGCCACGTGCATACAACCACTACCAGGGAAGTTCTACTCACTACCTTCTCGTGGCATTACAGTTTTTAACGAAATTGAGAGGACGAAAAGCCAATGTACAGCGCTATAAACGGGTTGGTGGACATGGAGAGTTCACTTAGGGGAGTTAGAAAACCCTGATTCCAAACCAGTGGTGAACGTGGGCTTCAGGATCTCAACGAAACAAATGGAGTATGAATCTATTGTTGGTCAACGGCTATCATGGGACTGCATCTCCTAACGTTGCTCCATCGGTTGTGGCCTCCTAAGGAAACCACATGGTTCGGTTTGGGCACGTGGTCAGAATCCCAGCCATACATAAATTGAATGATTTTTTGGCGCCTCATTGTACCAATGTTTATGTGTTTAAATAAATAAAAAAAAAAAAAATCATTCTTAATTCTAAAGTATTTTTTTAACAACTACGAAGTAATAGATGATTCATAGAACCTTCACTGAATATTAGCATACAGGAAAAATAACTATATTCCCTCAGTTAACAAAAGATTATGTTTGTTGAAATCTGTTTAGATAAAGAAAATTGGGTATTAGTTCAGTTTATCTGTTCTTAATTATTTCATAAGTTTATTATAATCACTGGAATTGTGATAACAAATACAAGACATAAAAATATCAATATTTATTTCATTTGAGATTGTTGAATAGAACGCTTCTATAACACACCTTGATGGTGACGGGATTGTGTTTCAAAGCAAACATTGTAATTAGTTAAACTAATAGTTTAGAAGAGCATATTAAATTATTTAAAACTTAATCAAATCATGATTCTTTAATATCTTTATTATGTATGTCAATCCCCACTAATATTGTGCTACACAGATTTATGATAGAGTGTTAACTTCTAAGGGTAATAAACAAATTATATAGATATAATATCTTCACGCGAAATAAGCATATATAAGTTTGAACGCTGAATATTCTAAAATAATCGTGTTATAATATAAAGTCACTTGGTATTTACGGATTTTTAAAGTTTAGTCTGGTATGAAACATTTTTCCGTTGCTAACTCACTTCAAGGAGAGAAACATTGAAAGCTATGGAGCATCAAGAATAGTTTTGTCCCACTTTAGGACTACTTCACAGTGTACAATCATGGACATTACGCGGATTAGACCCAGGGACTTCTAGATCCCCGGTGGCCGTCTCATTCCTAAGCAACCGAGTTGAGATCTAATAAGAATCATAATGCCAACTTCCCTTGATTTGTGATACGGCAAGATCAGAAGTCAATGTCCGTGACGATAACAATGAGAACTTTCTTCAAACTAAACTAATATTTACTAAAGCACCCAACTAAAATTAATTGAACAAGTAAGCAATAAAATGACGAAAATGTTAACAGAACGCTAAATTTGAGTTGAAATCAAAATTCACTATCATCCATCGATATCGTACAAAACTTTCTGTCAAGAGTACGTTTCTACAGACTACAAATCAATTAAACTAACTAATTTGAGAAATATTTCCAACAAAATCAACAAATAGATATGTATAATGGCTACATTTCTATACTTCCAAGAACCTTTCCAGCTGTTGTGAGGAAAATTATACATACACATATGTATCACCAATGGCGTTGATTTACAAGAAAATATAAAAAGGTATGCATCTGAAAGAAATATTGTTGTGACTTTTGCCCTGTTAATTATCACATAACAGGGTTGCCAATCACAATACGACTTATACAATCTTAACACCGTCGTCTAGTCCTGACTGTTGAGTCCAGAACGCCAATATCTGCACCCACTATATGAACCATATACTTAAGACATACTTGGTTTATATACAAGCGAACCAGACCACATCACACCATAAAATAAAAATAACAATTATACAGGATCAAACCAAAAATCAGATATAATTATGAGAGAATGTAACCAATAAATTGGGAATAATTTAAGAATAGCAAATCGTATAATAGTCGTCAATAGATCAAATAAAAGTTTGTGTTAAAAGGGATGTAAATATATATATATGTATAATGCAGTCTTCTGACCGCCTTAAGCGATGATGCAAGAAGGTTTGAGATGTATTCCTCCCCATCAAAATGAGAAATGTTACTTAAGAAAATGGTCGATGTTAACTCAAGAACTAATGATATAGCATGTAGTTGAGTGTTTTGATCACTTCACTTATATTAGAAATACCATGAGTCCTACGAGGGTACTGCCAGACAAGATCCCCATATAGTTTCAAAAGGCTTGGCAGACATTTTTCAACTTGCGTCAATTATGACGTACGCGAGATATTCATTTGCTAACTGAAAGACGAGTTTACTGCTCAGCATTTTGTTCCGTTAAGTGTATAACATGGTGTCGTAGTATGAAAGAAAGTTGTACAGGACTGGCTTCTGTAGGTCCTTCACGACTCCCTGGTTGCGGTCCTAGAGATGGTGTAACACATTGGCTAGAGACGTTACCAGATATGGCTCAGAATAGAAGCCAGTGGCGAAGCTGCAATAACTTTATTTTATTTCCTTCATAAAAAAGGAAGTAACCACTTTAAGTAGAATTCCCTGTGGCTGTACTTTTGCTAATTGATCTGCCCCTCTCATTATTGTTATTTCACTATCATACACTAATTTCTGTACATTGTTATACTTCTTTTTTCTTATACGCACCTTACATTCCTTATATCTTCACATTCTCATTATTATTGTGTGGCGCATATGTATCGATTGCCCCTTTGTACTAATATTAATGTGTTCAAGTAAATAAATAAATCACTAATTAATAAGCAGCAAAAAAGTATATAAAATCATAAGAAGTAAACTTGAAAAGTTTCCAAATGAAACAAACAGAATAGTGCTCTAAACAACATGATTATTGTTCATGAACTATTCCGACACTTATTTCAACAATTTTACATAAAGAGTAAGAAATGATTCATTCAGTCAGTAATAAGCTACTTAGAACCTGGTAAATATGTGCATCGGTTCAAGTTCCACACCAAATCAACATAGCGCGAAGAAATTATTGAGACAAATGATAGAATAATAGAAACGATTATTCATAGACAGTATGATTTGAGAATTAATCCGTTGAATAGGAAGTTTGAAATAATTATGGAACTCAAGACTTAAAAGCAAATAAAAAGTTAATGGATCTGTGAAATTAAAACCGATTCTATATTTCGTTCAAATGTCTCTAACTTTTGACCATGATAATCATACTGATTCCAAACCGAATAGTCTATACCTACCTCCACGGCTCAATTCAATTATCAATAACTTTATGGATTGACGCCACATATTTGGTTTGGCTGCCCTTAGCGTTTTACTAACTTAGTGCTATACTAGTAAACATCGCGCGTCGAGGTAAGTAGTGTTTCAGCAGATATAATACACGTTCCAACTACAACAGTCGATAAAGATTCATTACCTTATAGATGGCAAAATGCAGAAGCAAGAGTTGTGATCAAAATAATCCGTGAATTTCAACAGTACGAAAGGAGGAATCATCGATTAACTGAGTGAACATATCTTAGGTGATTATGGAAAGAAGGACTTCTGATCAAAACACCAAAGAAAGGCGATCTCAGAAAGTGCGATAACTACAGGGTCATCACTCTTCACTCAATACCAGGAAAAGTCTTCAACAA